GAAGGATCTAGGAAGCATCATTGAGACTTGGTGAGGCTGATCATGGCATGGGCCCAGTGAGCTCCAGAAGCCAATGAGCTAATGTGGACTTTCTATGATGAACCATTGGGATATTGGCTGTAACACTGAAGCTCTGTACAGAGAATCCATTTCGGGGTTTTCAGGAAGTCTACATAAAATTGGCAGCATAGGGGAAGATCTTGCAACCACCAAAATGGTGTCAACCTAGGGAAGATTTGTAGCATTAAACCAATGCACTCAGCTCAGGGAAGATTTTTTTTTTTTTTTTTTTTGGGTGGTGAATAACTTGGGGAGATTTGGACAAACAAAAGATCCTCGTAGATAGGGGTGGGCAAAACCGGTTTTTGGTTAAAATCAAAATCGGTTTTAAAATAATCAAAATTTTTTTTATTTTGAGAATCGAAACCGAATCGAAATTATCAAAACCAATCGATTTGGTTATCAATAAAATTAGTTCGGTTTTGGTTTTTGATAAATAAATAATAATTAATTATTTTTTTAATAATATATTATATTTTATCACATATTTTATCATATTTTATCATATTTTATTATATTTATCTTAATTTTGATTTTCAAGGATTTATTTTCGATTTTTGGTTTTTAAAGACTCAACCAAAACCAAACCAAAATATATTTGGTTAATATCAATACCAAAAAAATAAAAACTAAAAACCATTAAAACCAAACTAAATTCATTTTTTCGAATTGATTTTTGAATAACCCATTGATTCGGTTTAAAATGCCCGGTCCTACTCGTAGAAGTTGCAGCCCCAAATGGTGTGGTTTCGCGGCATTGAATTTTTATATTAAAATTTTAAAGAAAAAAAATACTATTTAAGCTAGGGATTTCCGCTGTCTCTTGCATTAAAAATGAGCAAAACTTTTCTCAAATAGCCTCGACTCAAACTAAACCCTAGTTTTCAAATTGTGCGACCTACGTTTAAAATCAAGAGAGATCTGAACAATTTCTTTAAGTTTTCATCCCTATTGTAGCGAGGTAACTTCATTTGAAAGAGCTTTTATCTATTTTATGCGAGCAAGAGTACTTTCAGAAAAATGGCTTCATCGTTGTCAAATTCATTTTCTGATGCCGAAAAAGAACTCAAAGCACCGCCATTGGCAGATCGCAATTGAAGGAGAGGCGTCACACTACGCCGAGAGAGGTTTCGTTGCAAGATGATACCTATTCAGGTTCTGAGATAGGGACTTCAGTCGTCGATTAGACTGGGTCTCTTGAAGAAAAGTCATAACTGTATCAGCACGAAAGATATGTAGCCTTTAATTTAATATACACTGCCAAGCTGAAATTCTTGACCATGTTAATTGCAATGTCGAGGAAATTCCTCTGGGATTAAGTGGAAATTCAGCAGACAAGAATTCATGTTGAACACGCTGTGTCTATTTGCTTTTAGTATTGTGTTGTTACAGAGTCCACTCCTCGTCCTATTCTTTTCCTTTGCCTTTGGTTCTATTTGCAGCTTTCTCTTGCCCATTTGGTTCATATCATATCTTTATTTTGAAAATTAGCATTAAAATGACCTTAACTGTGTCTCCTTTCAATCTTTTCTAAAAATAATCATACAGCAAAATGAGAGAGAGAGGTAGAGAGAGAGAGAGAGGGGTGGTTGACGGACGACGGTCACTAGCAAGGCGGACGACACTGAATCAAGAGCGTGCAGGGTCTCGGGGTGGAAGCAGAACCAGAAGGTGGAAAACAGGGGAACGGAGGCAAAAGCATCACGATCAGAATCAGACTCGGATGTGGAAGAACGAGGGAGCTTATGATAAAGGATTATACAAGCAAGCCACACCATACTTTTTCTCTAATTTCCCGGATGACTGGAGCTATGCAGACATGTGGAGAACTTTTCGAAAATTTGGAAGGGTGTATGACATCTATACTCCTAACAGAAGAAGCAGAAATGGTAGTAGATTCGGGTTCGTGAGGTTTCTAGATGTCAGAAGCAGAAGGGAGCTGGAAATGCAACTTGATCAAATCTGGGTGGGAGGCCAAAAGTTATGGGTGAACACACCGAAATATGATGATGAGAAGAAAGAAGAGGGGGTGCGGAGGGAGTATCAAGCTGTTGCCCCAAAAAATCAAGACAGAAGTTATGCAGAAGTGGTGCGGGGATTACAGGAAAGAGGACCGAAAAAGGGGAGCGATCTGCTGCTTAATCAAGAGGCTGAAAGAAGGCCAATAAGCAGTAGAATCAAAGCTAAAACTGAGCATGGAAGCTTCGGAAATAGGAGAGTTTGGAAGAAAAAAGGAATAGGAGAAAGATGGGAGGGAATGGAGTATAATGCAAAAACAGAAGACTGTGAATGGCTTAAAGGGTGCTATGTAGGAACGGTCCATTCCGTCGAGATGGTTCGAAATCTCCAGGAGAAATTCTACATGGAGGGATATTTTTCCTGTCGGATTCGAGCAATGGGGGGGAAGTTGGTCTTGTTAGATTGTGAGGAGAAAGAAGAACTGAAGGATCTGGTGGAAATGGCCTCAGATTGGCTAAGCCAATGGTTTGAAGATGTGCGCCCGTGGACACCGGAATCAGTAGCTAATGAGAGATTCGTGTGGATTAGATGTCAAGGGACACCTTTAAGTGTATGGGGGCTGGATTTCTTTGCAAACATGGCTTGCTCGTGGGGAAAGTTCATCTGTTTAGATGATAACACAAGCAAAAAAATGAGATTTGATATAGCAAGATTCTTGATATCTACTCCGATTAGCAACACAATCTCAGTCTTGCGCCAAATACAAATCAATGGGAGAATATACAATTTGAAATTCACTGAAGAGGAGTTTACAAACAGTTTCTTTTCCCTAAAACATGACTTCTTTCCAGCATACCAAAGTGATTCCGACGAGAATGAAGGATGGTCCACCGAAAGTGAGAGGGAGAAACACGGGTCTGTATTTGCAGAGGAGTTTGCCCAGGTGAACGGAAGTGGTCTCCAGGTAGAAGATGATGACGTGGCGGGTTGGCAGAGAAGGGGAATGGGGGTACTTCGGGAACAAGCCACATCGGGGAAGGGGAAACAGTGCAACACAGGGGAAAACAGCCTGGAACACACTCAAAATTTGAAAGAGGTTGAGTCTAGAGTAGGGGCAGAGGAGGCGCGCCTGCTGCAGGGAGACGTTGCTTTGTCAGGAAGAGTGGGCGTTGTGGAGGGAGAATATCTGGGCCTTAGTGAGCAGTCCGAGCTAAAAGAAGGCAGCATAAAATTGGGCCTGGGTGTTAAATCCAGGCGGACAGAAGGCAGTTTTCAAATGGGCCTTAGCGAGCAGGATCCGACGGAAACAGAGGGGAAACTCAATCCACAAGCTGAAAATACTGATTTTGAAGAATCAACAAATTTGGGCTGGACTCAAACACAAAAAGGGAAGGAAAATAAAAGCCGGTCAATTATTGATGGCTCTTCTAGAAATAAGGAGGTAGAACAGATCAGTTTGGACATTGCAGAAGGGGACCCGTTCTGGAACGGTTTTGAAGAAGAGCAAAGAGGAATAGAAGAGTGGATCAAGAAGCAAAGAGAGGAGGGCTCAACGAAGAAGAAAAGAAGGATCAAGATGTGTAGATCAGTGTATGCTAACTCAAGAGCAGTGGGTATAGGTCCAAAATTAAAGAAAGGGAGTAGAAAACAGTGCAAGCAAGACGCAGAGGGGAGATCCGAGCCAAGCTTCCTACCTGGATCAAAGGGGAAGATTGCAGGCGATTCAGTAGGTGATAGCGGAATTCAGAACTGCAATAGATGTTTGAAGAAGCAAATGAAGAATAATTTAGCATTGGAGATTTGGGACCTTGCGAAAAAGCTAGGGGCAGTGGCTGAGGATGATAGGGAGATCATTCAAAGGATTGAAGAGATGGAGTGTAGAGACAGCCGAGAAAAAGCAGAGAAGGCAACTCTCGGGTCTGGGGAGGCGAGGAAGGTATGTCCGGATCCTGATGATTTTGTTGTCCTATAATATTAGGGGTCTTGGAGGGATTGGGAAGAGAAGGCAAATTAGGGAGTTAGTTAAGAAGGAAAAAGTGGAGTTTTTAGCTATTCAAGAAACGAAGTTGCAAGCTGTAGATAATAGTGTATGCAGAGGGGTTTGGGGTACAGATGATATGGAGTGGATTTCAAAACCATCGGTGGGTATGTCGGGTGGTTTGCTGTGTGTCTGGAACCCTAAGGTATTAAAATTGATAGAGGTGATTGAGGGAGATAATTTTATAGGGGTGACTGGTGTATGGGGAGAGGACGAAATACTGGTGCACATTTTGAATATCTACTCACCTTGCCAAGTGACGGGTAAGAGAGCCTTGTGGGAGGATCTGCAGCGGTTAATTTTGAGTAGAAATGGAAATTGGTGCCTCGCAGGAGATTTTAATGCTGTAAGAAGTATAGAAGAAAGAGCAGGATGTAAGGGGGTGTCTGTAGAGATGGAAGAATTTGATGATTTTATTCACAATGCGGGATTAATTGATCTACCACTGGTGGGTCGAAAGTACACGTGGTATAACTCTAATGGACAATTCATGAGTAGAATAGATAGATTCTTGATTTCAGAAGGCTGGTTTTCAGTATGGGGAGATGTGAAACAATGGGGTTTGCGTAGATCGGTGTCGGATCACTGCCCTATTTTACTCAAAGAAGAGAAGATTGACTGGGGTCCAAAACCATTTAAATTTTTTGATGCTTGGCTGGAGCTACCAGAATGTAAGGAGATTATCAGAACAGCATGGAATTCATGTGAAATAAATGGAGGGAAGGGATACAAGCTTAAGGAGAAACTGAAAATGACCAAGAAAGCACTGAAGGAATGGAGCAGCAAATCA